AAGTTGATGTTGTGAGGTTGTTTTTCGTGGAATGGTGTTGGGCCTCTAATAAAGATCACCGTCATTATGGACGCAGTTTTCATTGTTAATAATATTTTGGATGACGTGGTTTTACCTTATGCAGAAGAGGATATGCCACTGCGTTGGGTCTATCAGCAAGATAATGACCCAAAGCATACCTCAAAAAGGGCTAAGGAATGGTTTCGCAGCAAAAATGTGAAATTAATGAATTGGCCGGCGCAGTCGCCGGACCTTAACCCAATCGAACACTTATGGATGGATGTAAAAAAGGGAATAAGGGATGCTAAGCCACAAAATTTGGAAAAATTATGGAGAACAGCAAAGAATACTTGGGAAAATATACCCCTCTCTAGATGCTGCACCCTTGTAGACTCCATGCAGTCCATATGTGCCGAAGTAATAAAAAATCGAGGGGGAGCAGCTTCATATTAAATGTAAGGCCATTTGTATGCATTTCAAAACAACAAACGTGTGTTCTTATAAKTTTTCATGCTTTGTTCTTATTTTTTCGAACAGGCTGTTTAAGACCCAATGCAACAAAATTTGCAGTACAAAAAAGTTAGTGCGTATTTGATGACCAGATTTTCAATTTTTTTAATACTCACAATATGTATAAATTTTTTAAGAAAAAAAGGCTCAATAAAATATTACTGAGAAAATTTTATTCAATGATTTCGATATTCACATTGGTTGTTCTTATTATTTCGAACACGTCTGTACATACATATGTATAAATTGAGGTTAGATTAAATCTAGAATATAGATGGACTGATTTGAAGCAAGGCTTTAAATTCGCCAAGTTGTTTTTGTTGTTGTAGCGGCAGATTTCTGCTGAGTTGACAGTCCTTGGCCGGATAAAAATCCGGATCGGTTCCGGTTACGTAGACCCGACTCTGGTGGGAGCGGATTCGCCAAGTTGTCTTTGTGTTGCTTAATAATCTTTGTCAGTTTACACATATTCCTTTTTATGCTACGTGAGAGTTCGTCTCGGTTACGAATTTCGGATTGTCGTGGGTTCGGCATATCTAATAGTTTGCTTTCAGTGAAAAACCTGGCAACGCCATTCAGGTCGCTGATCGCTAAACGATTTTGACCCAATCCACTCTAATGTTCCACCCGCTTCTTCCCTTTGCAAGATGACACTTATTCTAAACACAATTTGAGGTTATGGTCGTCTCCTATTGGGGTTTTCAGCATTGGGGTTGTAAGGAAAGCTATCGAGATAACACTCCTTAACTGAATCTAAATCGCGGTTACAAGGCCTCTTCTGGTTACAAAAGCTTGTTCCGGTTGTTGTAGAAAAAATTTAGACCGTTTTGAGGGAATTTTCAGCGCAGTCAACCTACCGTTAAGGTTCAAAAGAGAGTTGTCTCGACAGTGCGGTTTCTATAAGTGAACGATTTCGTTGGCTCGGTCCATAGGAAAACTGTAATCGTTCCCATAACAGTCGGGTAAAAGTCACCGGGACAGACCCAACTCGGCACCATTCCTCGATATTACTTCAAAAATGTTTCAAGGGCATTTGGTTAGTGGGTTTGATGGGACATGAAAAGAGGTTAGTCTGTCTTCTACCAAGCTGGTTTTCATAGTTCCAATTTTCATTATTTCAAAGCAGTTCACATGGTTTTCACTGCGGGTTGATTCTTTACAAAAACCAGGAATTTTTATTTGCTTTGATCTTAAGCTTCGCAGCGCTTGTTGGTCTATCTCTTGATATATTCTCCTTAAAACCTCGAACTGATCTTTTATCTCTCCAACGACATCATTCGCAAAGGATTTTCTCTTCAGATACTCTCTGCTGATGTAAAGTTCCACATGTGTCGTGCAGCCTTCTAACAAGAAGTTGCTTGGTTTTGATGATGTTGGAATTTGGGATTGCTTTATGGATACTGACCCTTGATACTGCTTCGTTCCTTCAGCAATCTTGAAGCGTTCGCTTTTTTTTTTTATTTGGTACTCTCCGAAAATATCATTATTAAGCTCATTTAAGCTTAACGACCATTCCATTACACGTTAAATGCTGAATATTTGCTATAATGAAGCGGGAGCTGTTTCATCTTTGGCTCAAAACCGCAAGCTAGTTGCAACGGTAAATGCATGTGAGTGTTGAGAAAATTCTATTGTACTTCGCAATGCTCAAATCAGCTTAAAATAATCGGTATGAATAATAATATTCAACATTACTATGGTCTGACACCCACACACCCACACACACACACACACACACACACACGTACGTACATATATAACAACATTAATTTATGTAACCGTCAGCCTAAAGCTTTAGGCATCCAACGGCAACGACAATCCAAACACTCGGGCGACAATCGAAGCCAGAAAGTGGTTATCCTCAGCCCAACCTCTAGCCTCCAGCTGCAACAAAACTGCAAGCATTGCAGAGGAAAATCAATTAACACAAGGTAGATGTCGTGCCGAATGGCAAGCGACCGGTAAGCTGGCAGGCTTTGAGGCTTTCGTGGTGACACGAATAACAATGGCCACGAATATGAGAGGTAAACCAAATAAACAACTTGCGTTCACACCTACACACACTTAGCGCGCGGTGAGTGGAAGAAGGAATTGTTGCAGCTTCACATTTGTCCAATCAACCTAATAATTATCAATTTCTTGTATAATCCGAAAGCACGGACGTTCCTATGCACTCGTCCGGTACTTGGAGGTGTTGTCATTTAGTTTGCTAGCAAATGCCGGACATTTTCTAATTTCCTCAATAGTTGTGCGAATATTTGGTGGAGTCGAAATTCTGTTGTTGAGTGCTGAGCTTCCATCGATGGCATGAAATTAGTTCAATTTGGCGACAATGGGTTCCAGTTTGGCACCAAGGAGTAATGAGAAATGTAAGAGGCTTTAAGAAAAACATTTCGCTTGAGTCATCTTTTGTCCTTGTACCTTGTCTTCCTTATATTCCCGAATTGAGCTTAGGTTCTCAATCGATTTATCTAACCTTTGATTAGAAATTCTATTGGAAATGCTAAGCACACCTCTCTGTCTCGCGATCTGAAGTTCCAGTCCAATGTTCAGTGAGAAAATTCAGTCTGCGCTAAACTTAGTTATTTTTCTGAGATACTTATGGTGGAAAAAGAACGATTTGTCCGCCTTTCCACGACACTCGGATCTCCGTAACCGGAACCGGTTCGATTTGTCCAGAATAACGTTCCTCAGCCGTTTTTAAGTGTAGAGCTGTCTCGAAATGTAACAAAGTGTACCGCCCGAAAAGTTTTTACACTAACTTCTTGAGGCCAACTCTTGGTAGCGTTTGACGTGTTGGCGCGATACGAAGAAGTTTCGGCATTATTGGGTGACCTTCGACGAAGTATTGATACATTAGTATAAACTAGAGAAACTAGAGGCCAAGGAATAGTCGAAATCTTGGATTTCACAAGACGAAAATGTTCGGAAGAAGACGAAGCCTTGCCTTTCGATCCGAAAGTTGATGACTACCATTTTCTGGGATTCATAAATTGTAATGTACATCGACCACTTTGAAAGGGGCAAAACGCTCATATGACTTCATAAAGTGAAATATTTGGGTTGATTCAATGCTAAATTGCAAAATCAAAACCGAATGAACGCACCGAATCACACCTACGAACCACCGATGGCGCCAAGGTCAAATTGGTTGAATTAAGCTACGACCTCTGCCCGATCCATTATATATTGTTCGACTTTTTCTTGTTAGCAACATTAAAGAGGCTCTCCTGGATCGAAATGAGTCGAATGCGGAGGTTACACCGCTAAGGAGACATACTTTGAAGACATTCAGAAAAGTTTTTTACAGACTTTAGAGAAGTTGAGCAGGTCTGTCGTAAGAAAAATTCGCCATTTTTTTCTAAATTTCCATTAGTTTTTATCGGCTCGACCTCCAATGCCGATAAGTAAGATCTCGCATGTTAACAAAATATGGTTCATAAATTGACTAGAAAAGTATGCTCGAATTTCTTATATCTTATATTCGACTCCACTCGCTGTTAGTCCATCCTTCTTTATTCAAATCCCTTTTTCCATGTAAAATTATGTGTACAGGTGCATGTGCAACAAAATTAGTAGATATGTTTTTGTTTTTGTTGCCATTTCATAACTGTACTGCACTGCATTAATTATTATTAGATTTCATTAACGAATCATATGTTGCAAGCACAAGGTACTAAGCATGCTGACAATAATTCGAAATTATTTATACTTGTGTCTGTTTATGCAGGAACATTCTCTCGCTTGCTGTCGAAGTGTGCCGAGTGCTTATCGCCGTATGTTTGCATATTTTAAGGCGAGTTAGCATAATTTTAGGCGCACAGGCTTGCTACTTTATGTTTATTCATACCATGTGTGTATGTGTGTGTGTGGTATGTATTGAAAGGAATTCAACTAAGCACATGTTTACTTATATATATATCGTATGTGTGCGCACATACACACACCCATACACTTATTTGTATTTTGTTGTATGTACACATATTTACATATAATGTATTTATGCCACAATATTTATGTGTCAGTGTGGTATAATTCTGTTGTCATTTACATTTTACACTCGACTTGTGATTGTCATCACAACACACTCACACACTATCATGAACATATTTACATTTGATTGTACATATACTATATTATGCATACATGTTTATTCCTGTTTATTTACACAAACACATTTTGGCAAATTTTCATAACGGGTTCCACTAATATTCCACTTAAAGTTTACCTGTATAAATTAGTTGGAATTGCAATTAGGTTCAATAAATTAGCGTCTGAATGTATGCCAAAATGTCATAGGGCTGGTGTAGACCAATAACTGATTAGG